ATTCCTGTAAAAGCACAGACCTGGCACCCAATTAAAATTATGCTTTGTGGAAACCAAAGGAGCATAGCCCAGGCACTCCAAGGAACTGCTCCCATGCTAGATGCTAAAAGACACACTTACGCTAAACCACCAGAGGCCTGCTTTGGCCCCCTGAAAATAAACATCTCTTTTGCATATATGCTCTCTTGTAGCTGCCAGTGCTTTGCCAAGGAGAATTGTTATTTTAAATGGAGACTCTTTCTGTATCAGCAGGAAGAATTTATTTCCAGTCAGAGAGAAAGTAGAGAGCAGTTCTTGTTGCCCGTCACATTTTAGTGCAGGGAAGTGCTTTGCCCTAAAGGTGCCAAGGTAAAGAGAATTGCCAAGTAAAGAAAATTTATTGAATGCATTTTCCAATAGAGAGGCATAATCTGACATTTTTGTTTGTAGGATCTCAGAAAAATAACTTTCCTCCTTTCTTATATCAAGTAAGAGGATATGCAATGGCAAAATATCCACTCTGTCTTAGGATGCAGTTATGTAAATTTTCCTCTATTTAATAATACTTTCATTCATAATTATTTTATGTGCATTCTTCAGACGTCTGCCTGCAGCACACATCTGGATGCTGAATTTATTAGTGTTTCCTCCTCTCCCGTGCCCTGTCTTCTCAGGAACCGCATTACCAGGGGTCCCTATGATTATTCCCCCAGGACTGTTCACTTGAGGGCAGCACCACAGCCCCCACCTCCAAGGCTTTAGGACCAAGGAAATGAAATCAAAGGATCAAACTCTCTTTTGAAAGCTGGTGGCAGTCCCACATCCACTTCAGGTTTTAGCTGTGCCCTCGGCCCTGGCCCTGGCTAGCAGGTAAGATCCCTGGGACCTTAGTCCATCCATACCAGAAGACCCCTCTCATTTTATACTATAGTTGACTTTGCATTAGTTGTCCGCAGAGTCCATTGATTTGTTCGAACTGGGAATAACAGGAAAGTATTACCATTTTGCCTACTCCAGGACTCTAGAAAATTTAGGCTTGACTGAAAAACAAACCGAGGCGTCCAAATAAAATCGAAGCACCCAATTTCAGATTGTATTCCCTCTTGCATTGTCTGATGGTGCTACGCTGTCTCCTTTGACAACGCAACAGCAACTCTGACTCTGTTCCAACTTGGTCGGTGACAAAGTGAAAGGTTCCACCTCTGAGCAGGTAAAATATGTTTGCTAGGGAAGGACTGCTCGGCAGTAAGGATGACAACAATTAGCACATGCTACTCATTAACAAACGGAGATTAGAACGCAGCCGAAATGGCAAGCTGCCATCAGTGCGATAGTTACGGGGCAGTTTAATTTCTAACGAATGTGAGTGCTGGATCAGTAACAATATTCGACAAAATGCCGCCTGCATTCTCTTATGGCTTTCATTACCAAATTGAAAATCTGTGTAGATTTCTGAAAATTACTTTTAAATGTAGCCAATCTCCTAGACTGCAAGGCTTGATTTGCTGGTGAGGGAGCCCTGCTGTGAGATTTTAATGAAAGATCATAGTGGCCCTCCAAGGCCAGCAAAGAGCTATGGGCCCTGGAAGACCCGAAATAATCTGTTTTACTTTTAATGGCAGCCATTTTATATTCATTAAGATCAAAATGCAGTTTTGCAGGCAAATTGCAAAGCTGTTCCACTCACAGCTTGAGAACCTGGAGGCCCTACAGCTTTTTATCTTGTTCATAAGCAAATATGCAGTTAATATCTTTTAATATGCTTTGATGCTTGGTACCTTATGGGTACATTGTACCGGAGGTTAGAGAACTGCATGTTTCCTTGGCACAGTCAGCCACGAACTAAAGCGGTAGTCCTTTTATTTCCATAATGGCAGAAGAAATGAGTCTCTCTCTTTTTATCCCCCTCCCCATTTTTTTTTTAAATATGAGCTTTGCTCAAATAAATTGTAAAGCACTGTATAGTGTACATTCAGGGTCTCAGGGAAGGTGCGGTTTTTCACTGGGATCCATCTGTTGGTGGTTCATATTATTTAAATTTATACAGTCACATTATTTAAATGTAAACAGCCAAATAAGATAGGATCAAATCATTGGCATCTGGAAACTGTGCTCTCATCCTCTTTGATTGTGAGGTTGTCTGCATTAATAATGGAGTTCTAAAGACTGTGATTCCACCTGATATACTGTATGACCTTAACAGTTGTGATTTTATCAGGGTTTCACTGTAGTAGAAAATGAAGGTATTTTGCAGCTCATTTCCAGCAAAGCTAGTTTGCATTATCTTCTGTCCAGAGCAGTCCTGACTGTTCTGTGTGTTATAAAATATCACCCCCACTCCCACCCATTGCACCCTTTCTGCTGTGCAGCTGTACTTCCGGTCTGGAACCATGTTGTAGATTAAATTTCATCAGATTTCTTGCAGAAGGTAAATGGTTCTGTGCTTAATGAAAAGGAAGGAAGGAAGGAAGGAAGAGAGGAAGGGAGAAAGGGATAGAGGGAAGAGGGAAGAAAGAAAGGA